CCCCGCTCGTTCGCGCCCGTCGTGGCCCCATGCGCATGCCCTTCGTGGTCCCGCTGTCGCCCTTCTTGGCCTCCTCTCTGCCCTTCGTGGCCCCGTTTCTGTCCTGTCACCGGCCCCGTCGCTGCCCTCTGTGGCCCCGGATTAATTGCCCTTCGTGGCCCCCGCTCGCTCGCGTCCTTCGTGGCCCCGATGCCTTCCAATTCCCCCGCGCCTTGTTTCCGCGCCAGTCTCCGCTCGTATCCACCTGCCCCCACTTTTCAACATTTTTTTCCCCACCATCCTGTGGTGTTGGGTCCTCGTTTTGAAGAGACAGCGCCCCGCGTCCCACCTCCTCTCCTCCTCCTCCCCCTCCTCGCCCTCCTCCCTCCTCCCCCTCCTTGCCTCTGCTCTCGGCACACCCCTCACACGTTTCGTAGCCCCATAGGGACCTCCACCGAAGGTCCCAGTGGCACAGCCCGCATGCGGTTCCCCCACCCAGGGCAGCGTTTCGTAGCCCCATAGGGAGCTCCACCGAAGGTCCCAGTGGCACAGCCCGCATGCGGTTCCCCCACCCAGGGCAGCGTTTCGTAGCCCCATAGGGAGCTCCACCGAAGGTCCCAGTGGCACAGCCCGCATGCGGTTCCCCCACCCAGGGCAGCGTTTCGTAGCCCCATAGGGAGCTCCACCGAAGGTCCCAGTGGCACAGCCCGCATGCGGTTCCCCCACCCAGGGCAGCGTTTCGTGGCCCCATAGGGAGCTCCACCGAAGGCCCCAGTGGGGGTGTTCGCATGCGGTTCCCCCACCCAGGGCAGCGTTTCGTAGCCCCATAGGGAGCTCCACCGAAGGCCCCAGTGGGCCCGCATGCGGTTCCCCACCCAGGGCAGCGTTTCGTGGCCCCATAGGGAGCTCCACGCTTCGAGGGGAGCTCCACAAGTCCGCATGCGGTTCCCCCACCCAGGGCAGCGTTCGTAGCCCCATAGGGAGCTCCACCGAAGGCCCCAGTGGGGGTTCCCATGCGGTTCCCCCACCCAGGGCAGCGTTTCGTGCCCCATAGGGAGCTCCACCGAAGGCCCCAGTGGGGGTGCCCGCATGCGGTTCCCCCACCCAGGGCAGCGTTTCGTGGCCCCATAGGGAGCTCCACCGAAGGCCCCAGTGGGGGTGTTCGCATGCGGTTCCCCCACCCAGGGCAGCGTTTCGTGGCCCCATAGGGAGCTCCACCGAAGGCCCCAGTGGCGGTGTTCGCATGCGCCCCCCCCCCCCCCAGGGCAGCGCTTCGTGGCCCCATAGGGAGCTCCACCGAAGGTCCCAGTGGCGCAGTTCGCATGCGTCCCCCCCACCCAGGGCAGCGTTTCGTGGCCCCATAGGGAGCTCCACCGAAGGTCCCAATGGCGCAGTTCGCATGCGTCCTCCCCACACCCAGTACAGCGTTTCGTGGCCCCATAGAGAGCTCCACACAATGCGATACCCACAACTGCATATGGTTGGGTCCTTCGCCAGGCTAATTCCCAACCATCCTGTGGTGTTGGGTCCTCGTTTTGAAGAGACGGTGCCCCGCGTTCCTTCCTTCCTCCTTCCTCCTCCCCTCCTCCTCCCCCTCCCATCACCGCCCCATTTTGGTGCACCCCTCACACGGTTCGTGGCCCCATAGGGAGCTCCACCGAAGGCCCCAGTGGCAGGGTTCGCATGGCGGCCCCGCCCCATTTTGGCGCACCCCTCACACGGTTCGTGGCCCCATAGGGAGCTCCACCGAAGGCCCCAGTGGCAGGGTTCGCATGGCGGCCCCGCCCCATTTTGGCGCACCCCTCACTCTGTTCGTGGCCCCATAGGGAGCTCCACTAAAGGCTTAATTGGCAGGGTTCGCATGTTCGCGCACCCCTCACACGGTTCGTGGCCCCATAGGGAGCTCCACCGAAGGCCCCAGTGGCAGGGTTCGCATGGCGGCCCCGCCTCATTTTGGCGCACCCCTCACACGGTTCGTGGCCCCATAGGGAGCTCCACCGAAGGCCCCAGTGGCAGGGTTCGCATGGCGGCCCCGCCCCATTTTGGCGCACCCCTCACACGGTTCGTGGCCCCATAGGGAGCTCCACCGAAGGCCCAGTGGCAGGGTTCGCATGGCGGCCCCGCATTTTGGCGCACCCCTCACACGGTTCGTGGCCCCATAGGGAGCTCCACCGAAGGCCCCAGTGGCAGGGTTCGCATGGCGGCCCCGCCCCATTTTGGCGCACCCCTCACACGGTTCGTGGCCCCATAGGGAGCTCCACCGAAGGCCCCAGTGGCAGGGTTCGCATGGCGGCCCCGCCCCATTTTGGCGCACCCCTCACACGGTTCGTGGCCCCATAGGGAGCTCCACCGAAGGCCCCAGTGGCAGGGTTCGCATGGCGGCCCCGCCCCATTTTGGCGCACCCCTCACACGGTTCGTGGCCCCATAGGGAGCTCCACCGAAGGCCCAGTGGCAGGGTTCGCATGGCGGCCCCGCCTCATTTTGGCGCACCCCTCACACGGTTCGTGGCCCCATAGGGAGCTCCACAGAAGGCCCCAGTGGCAGGGTTCGCATGACGGCCCCGCCCCATATTGGCGCACCCCTCACACGGTTCGTGGCCCCGCAGGGACATAGGGAGCTCCACCGAAGGCCTCAGTGGCAGGGTTCGCATGGCAGCCCCGCCCCAGTGTGGCGCACCCCTCACACGGTTCGTGGCCGCATTGGGAATTCCTTTTGCTTCGTCCCACCTGCCCTGCGGTATTCACGTTTGCATATGGTTGGGTCCTTCGCCAGGATAATTGTTTTTTTCAGTTTTCTCTGCTCTTTCCCTTCATCATGATTTTCATTTCGTTCGTACCCCATTGTGCTATTCCTCAATGCTTCGCATTCCGCCCACTGCTCCCCGAGCCACCCTATCCCACCCCAACAATCTCCACCCCTTCCCGCTCGCATTCCGCATTTCTCCCAAATTATTCCTAGTCCCTCCTCCAGATTCCCCCGTGCGCCCCCCGCTCCTCCGCACTCCTCCCGGTTCCTCTTCTCCACTCCTTGCCGCTCCTCCTCCTGAGACCCTACGCTTGTCCACTCCATCCCAATCCACTCCACATCCCCGCGCTCCTCTCGGCACGGTTGCAATTCTCACTATCCTTCCGCCCCACTCCCACAACATCCCGCTTCTTTTCAGGGTTCCACGACATTTGTTTCTGACACCAATTCGCAGCTGTACTCACCCCCGTGGGGGTCTCCACGATATGTTCTTTCAAGGGGGTGGTACGTGGCGCTGTTTATGGCGCGACCCATGGCGAAACTTCTTGTTAACCTGTATTGGAGTGGCTGGCGCAAGCCATGGCGCAAGCTGAATCACCACCCACAGCGCAAATCATCGTCCTCCCTCCTTTTTGCCCCTCCCCTCCCTTCCTCCGATCCCTTCGTCCTCATATCTCCCGTTATCTGTTACCCTTCGTTTTCGAGGGCTTCACCAGCCACGCGTGGCAGGAAATGAATACAGTCCCCAAAAGAGGGTACGATCGAATACGAAGAGGACGGGTATCAAGGGTTTGGGATATGCATATTGAATGACACGCGAGCAGATAAGAGCGAACAGTCTGAAAATGATTGTTGTTGCTGTTGAGGAGGTATCATTTCTAAATCATAATTCTTGTTGACCCCCATGCCCGGCACCCTGGGAATTACGTACCGACTGACACGAGGACGGATAAGAACGCACAGTCTAAAATCTATTGTTGTTGAGGTTTTGCTGGGCTGGCACGGGCGGCGCGGGCGTTTGGGTGTTCCTGGCCCCCGCCCCCCTGGCCCTCGCAGAGTCCCCCAAGAGCCCTCGACCTCCGTTTTCGAGTGCAGGCGCTTCTGTGGCCGCCCCCCCCGTGGCCCACAAAAACTGAGCACCGGACGCGAGCATTGCAAAACAACGTGCAGCCTGTTCATGTACTGACGACGTCGGCGTAGGTCTCTGCGACCGCGTGGATCGTTGAACCGTGAGCCATCGCGGCGACATCGGCCGGTTCTGGCCACATATCGGGGTTCAGCCATGGAGGCATGCGCTGGGGTTGCCGCCGCGCCAACGCCGCGCGAAGATACCGTAGTGACTTCTTCGCCTCGCTGGTGGTCTGAATACAGCAGATTCCTGCCGTGACGACGTCGGCTCGAGTCTCTTGCACAGCGCGAAGAAACAATACCACAATATCCCCACTCTCGGAGGTCACTAGACAATGTCGACCCCATGTTCCGTACGAATTTCGCGCCGTGGGTTGGTTTCTTTTGGTTCGGAAGCTCGAGTAGAAGGACACGAAAGAACATAAACATAAGTCTTCGGAGGTCCGCGTGGATTGCTTGGGGCCTGCGCGGGATCCCCCTCGTCCGGCGCGAGGAGCTTCGGGGTTCATCCTGACCCAAGATTCCACGTAGACTTCCGAAAACTTATGCTTTAGGCCGGTGCGTGCCACATTGGCCGAAGCTGATCCCCAGGGGGCGTTCAGCCTCTCGGGGCCGCCTTCGTTGGCTATCGGCGGCCTTCGAAGGCGATGCGGCTTCGGTGACGACGAAGACAACAGCGGGTGACGACGGCCCACGACGACGACGGTGACGGCGAGCGAGGGGGAGGGGGTGAACTGGATGCTCATTTTGGGGACCTTCCTGGAGACACTCGCTCCACTCTTGCATCGAAGCTGCGTCGAACGTCCGTCGATTCGAATCGACCCTGAGTCGAACATGTGTGGAGCTTGCGTCGAACTGAGGTCGAACAGATCCGTTTGGCGGCCCCCCGGGAGGTCTACAAAACGAGCATTTAAGGTGAAACGACGGTACAGACGCATGACGACTAGTGACGACACAAGACGGCGACGACGAGCACGGCCCACGACGAACACGACTCACAACGACGACAGCTGCGGCCCGTGACGGTGCGGCTGCGGCGACGACGACGACGACGACGACGACGACGACGACGACGACGACGACGGCGGCCCATGAGGACGCGGGGGCCCAGCCGCCGCATGGCCAACCGGCCAGACCCAGGGGGGGCCTCGAAGTAGTCCACGCCGAGCAGGCAGCGGACCCCAGCCTTGTCCAGCGCGCTCTGGGCGTACTCCCGCGAGGCTTTGGGCATGGACACCACCACCGCCTCGGAGCCGAGCGGGGCCCCGTGGAAGGAGGCAGGTGGACATGAGGAGGGAGGAGGAGGAGGAGGAGGAGGAGGAGGAGGAGGAGGAGGAGGAGGAGGAGGAGGAGGAGGAGGAGGAGGAGGAGGAGGAGGAGGAGGAGGAGGAGGAGGAGGAGGAGGAGGAGGAGGAGGAGGAGGAGGAGGAGGAGGAGGAGGAGGAGAGGAGGAGGAGGAGGAGGAGGAGGAGGAGGAGGAGGGAGGAGAGGGAGGAGGAGGAGGAGGAGGAGGAGGAGGAGGAGGAGGAGGAGAGGAGGAGGAGGAGGAGGAGGAGGAGGAGGAGGAGGAGGAGGAGGAGGAGGAGGAGGAGGAGGACGAGGAGGACGAGGAGGACGAGGAGGAGGGGAACGAGGAGGAGGACCACCACCTGGCGAATGGGGAGGCTAAGGGTTGGCCGACCCGACCCTGACCCGAAACCTTGTGGCACTGGGCCAGCAGTTGTACTCCACAGCGGCCGCGGGTGCCGCTGAGACGGCGGGTCGGTGCTGCTGTGGCCTGGTGTGGCCTTGCACACCAGGTCACAGCAGCACCGACCCGCCACCGCCCACGAACATGGGGTGGGGAAGTGGGGCTGGGCCACCGTCGGGGCGGACTGGCAACCCAACTCCACCCCCGTGCTCAGAGGCCTCTGTGGGATTGACGCCTGGCTGGCGGAACCCCAGAACTCGGGTCCTAGGGCTGTCTGCGTAACCAGCACCGTCAGTCCAGGAAAGAAAAACAAGTGTGCAGCGCTTCTCCCCCCTGAGGCGGGGTGCCTGACACGCGTGCAGGACACGCACGCACGCACACATGCACAGCACTCAGATGGGCGCCCAGCAAAGAGGTGGCGCCACTACAGCACTCTGCAATGAAAAGGACGGCATGCCTCGACTGGCTGGCGGTACCCCAAAGCTCGGGTATGAGGGCTGGCTGCGGGACGTCAGCACCGCCAGGCGGAGCGAGAAACAAAACCCCATATCGAACCTGCATCGAGCCAAGGCATATTTGCGGCCAAAGCCGCAAGAAGACAAAATGAGCGCTCCTTCCCCCGGAGCCGGGGTGCCTGACGCGCGCGCGGGGATCGCGCTCGCACGCGCGCACGCGTACACTGAAAATGAGGCGACGCCAGGGCGACTCCGCAGTGCCCACCCCTGGTGTAGAGAACGCCAGGACGATGGGCAAGTTTCATCCCTGGCGTGGCCCTGTCTGCGCCTGGGCTTGATCTGCCTCTCTGAGCAGCTGTTGCAGCTGCACAGGGGCGGCTCGCGCAGCTTCGATGGCTCTTCGATAAAATTGCTCGAGTGGCTCTGGAGGCGAAACAACAGGAGCGGATTCCCTTCCACTCCTCGGGTGTCTTAACTCCAGAGCGCGGGCTAACAGGCTTCTTGCGTTGTTCGACGACGGTTCCCGCGGACGCTCTTGGAACAAACGACCGCGGGTGCCTGTTTCCGAATAGGACCCGCAGGAACGACGAATAATCATCGTGCTCGAGTTGAGCGCGTACTCGAAAATCAAAAGCTGGCGGCCTCTGGGGCTTTTTGCAAGCGAGGCTAGGACCGCGCAATGCACTGGGCATTTTGTGTCGAGACGCTTGAGATACTGGTCCTGGGTCTTGGCCCTGACTGGGCAGAGGGTGCAAATAAACGCGCCTCGAACTGATGCCCATCGGTGTAGCTCGCCTTCAGGCCCCGGGGGCTCGGAGGGGTGGAGGCGAGGGGGCCTCGGAGGAGGGGGGGGGGGCCCAGGGTCCCAGGCGCATTCTGCCGAGGCTGCTCCGATGGGCGGGTTCTTACTAACTGGGCGGCTCAGGGACTTCTCCCCCGAACTCGTGGCCAGCGCTGGCCACTTGGGGAGGGCCCGAGGAACATGGAACAAGAAACGTCGCAGCATGCTTTGATCGAGACCACTCTGCTCCCGCTCCGACTGGGATGGCTGACAAAGAACTGCTGCGGCTCGCTTGGCTGCTTGATCCGCTGCATCGTTACCTAACGCATGGTTGTAATCGTCATTACTGTTAAACTCCTGGGTTAAAATCTGGTGGGCTTTCACCTTCACGAGAGAAGAGGACGGCGGCGCGACAGCTCTGCCCGCCAGAACCTTGAACACTGCGTGTTGGTTCTTCCTGGGATATCCAGAATACTGAAAACGATCTATCGCATCCTTGTAGTCCGTGTGTACCTGGGTAACTAGGGGCGAAATGGAACAATCAGCTACGATTGCAAGCATCTCCGCCACACCCGAGCTCTGGGTGTACATGTTGCCTACCTGGCCTGGCAACATCGCGAAAGGTGCCTCGCTTCCCACGCTAACTGCCGCCCAACCAGCCGACTGGAAAGCTGGGTGGATCGAATTGCCGCAGCTGCCACCCACATAGGCTGGCCCCGAGAAAGCTTCCTCTAGGCTGACGCCTGGATCGACGCACCAGAATTGGCAATTCGTCAAACCTGTTCCGCTCGGGGGGGCGGGGGCACACGTTACTGTCGGGCCTGATCTGGAAACCGAGTTTAAGCAGCGGATCTTGTCCTTGGAGGATGAGATACTGCTCGCCTGGCGACAGTGCCCCAGCCCGCTCCCCCTGCGAGATGGGGCACTGGAATAAATAATGGTGCAGTGAGTCCTTGGGGGCTCCGCATTCACACTGGGTGTCGATTTCGTGCGCCGCATCTTTGGCCCTGGACTCTGTCCAGATGCCTTGCGCAGGGGAAGTTAGAAGACTGCCCCGCTCTTGCTTGGTTGAAGTGGGGCTGGCGAGGACTCTCATGGCAACTTGGGCATCCACTGGGATCCTGCATGTCCTTGCTTGCTGGCAGCCCGCTCTCCAAGCTGCTGCTGCCAGGCCTGCTGTACTTTCTGTTGCACAAAGGCTGGCGAGAAACACGCGACAAGCATGCTGCTGCTGCCCCCCCCCCCCCCGGCGCAGGGAAAACTCGCATGGCGAAGGGCCCAGCCATATGCAGTTGTGAGTAACGCAGTTGTGAATCTCATCTTCGGTGGAGCTCCCTATGGGGCCACGAAACGTGTGAGGGGTGTGCCGAAGTGGGTGGGGGTGACGCATGTGGACGGTGGCACTGGGGCCTTCGGTGGAGCTCCCTATGGGGCCACGAAGCGTGTGAGGGGTGTGCCGAAGTGGGTGGGGGTGACGCATGTGGACGGTGGCACTGGCCTTCGGTGGAGCTCCCGATGGGGCCACGAAACGTGTGAGGGGTGTGCCGAAATGGGTGGGGGTGACGCATGTGCACGGTGGCACGGGGGCCTTCGGTGGGGCTCCCTATGGAGCCACGAAACGTGTGAGGGGTGTGCCGAAGTGGGTGGGGGTGACGCATGTGGACGGTGGCACTGGGGCCTTCGGTGGAGCTCCCGATGGGGCCACGAAACGTGTGAGGGGTGTGCCGACGTGGGTGGGGGTGACGCATGTGGACGGTGGCACGGGGGCCTTCGGTGGGGCTCCCTATGGGGCCACGAAACGTGTGAGGGTGTGCCGAAGTGGGTGGGGGTGACGCATGTGGACGGTGGCACTGGGGCCTTCGGTGGAGCTCCCGATGGGGCCACGAAACGTGTGAGGGTGTGCCGAAGTGGGTGGGGGTGACGCATGTGGACGGTGGCACTGGGGCATGGGGCCACGAAGTGTGAGGTGTGTGCCGAAGTGGGTGGGGGGACGCATGTGGACGTGGCACTGGGGCCTTCGGTGGAGCTCCCCACGTGGGACCGCGCATGTGGACGGTGACACTGTGTGGAGCTGGGGCCTGTGTGCCGAAGTGGGTGGGGGGACGCATGTGGACGGTGGCACTGTTCGGTGGAGCTCACCACGAAACGTGTGAGGGGTGTGCCGAAGTGGGTGGGGGTGACGCATGTGCACTTGGGCCTTCGTTGGGGCTCCCTATGGGGCCACGAAGCGTGTGAGGGGTGTGTCGAATTGGGTGGGGGTGGCGCATGTGGACGGTGGCACTGGGGCCTTCGGTGGAGCTCCCTATGGGGCCACGAAACGTGTGACGGGCGTGCCGAAGTGGGTGGGGGTGGCGCATGTGGACGGTGGCACTGGGGTCTTCGGTGGAGCTCCCTATGGGGCCACGAAACGTGTGAGGGGTGCGCGGAAGGGGGTGTGGCTGACGCATGCGATGATGGTGATGATGAGTGCCATGATGACGACGGCGACGACGATGATGACGGTGGGAGGAGGGAGGAGGAGGGGGAGGAGTATGAGAGGAGGACAGGAGACGCGGGGCGCTGTCTCCCCAAAACGAGGACCCAACACCACAAGATGGTTGGGAACAGAAGTGTGTGTCGGGGGATGGGGGGGGGGGGGGGGCAGGGCCCAGCCTATGCGATGCAAGGGAAGCATTAAAGCGGCGAAGGGGCCCCGAACACTGCCGCAGCGCGAGGGGGCCTGGCCCATCAGGGCCTGTCCCTTCGCACGGGGGGAAGGTGGGGGCGCGAGGCCTTGGGCTGGACTGGCGGTGGCCGTCCACGCTATTAAATACACAACTAGAGCGGGGCCTAGGGCAAGTTTCCACGTGGGGTCACCAATCAGAAAGAGGCTCAGACATCTGCTTCCCGTGGCACACTTGGGACCTGCTATGTTTAAGTACTGCTGCTAGACGATGGCCAGCTGGCTGTTGTTGAGGCCCGCGGCCTCGTGGCCGAATGAAGCTGCAGCAAAAATGCCCGCGCTGTAGATATTGCGCGTGCCCCCATCCAGCTCTCCTGATGGCCGCGCGTCTCCTCATCCTCTTCTTGATATTGTCTATTCTGGCCTTTGCTACTCTATCCTTCCTCCACCTGCGCTGGGAGGGGGGGGGGGGGGGGGGGGCGCTGCGGTCTCGCAGCCGAGGTTGGGGCCCGAAGCGCCCGTTGCTCTGCCTGCTCGGGCTTGCAGTCTGCGCCGCATGTGGCGGCGCACTTGGTCAGAAGATGCGAAGAGCTGAATCTTGGCGGGATCAATCTTGCTGTCAAGATCGGTCTGGATGCTATCTGGCTAGCTCTGGGTGCCGCGGTTCAGGCGGCTGGCGATGCGGCAGATCTTGTAATCATGACTGCTAAAGAGGATATCGCCTATGAGCATGTAGAGGTCTACATAAGGGGTTCTGCTGGGTCCAGGAGTCCAGGGGGTCTATCGCGCACATCTGTATGAGGCATATAGCAAACCCACACCCCGCGGCTACGCCATGTACTGCGCGACCCACAAACATCACCAGGTCCCGGAGGCCTACAGATCTGGGGCTCGCATATATTCCCAACGTGCCCCTGAGCAGGGTGGTGGGGGACCCATTGCGAAGGGCTCGGGTAGCAAGCTTGCTGCGATTAGTACGTTCATAGTAGTTGCTGAGGCCGTAGAGGACCATGTCATAATGTAGGTGTTCGTTACGCTTGGAGTAACACTCGCAATATAGGCTCTGCTTGCATACTAGCTCAACTATGGACTGCCCTGCTTGGTGACCGAAGAATGGGCGCCTGTGGTTCCGTTCCCATTCTCTCGCTGCTGGCTGTCCTACTCCAGCCCAAGCTCGATGCAGGCCTGACATCATTCCAATCGATCGCATTGCTGGTTCCGTTGCCTGCGGATCTTGCTGCTTGTGCTTCATGATGGGAACTGAGATTATTGCTTGTATCTGCGAGGGCATGAAACCTAGGCTCTCGATGAGGAGCGTCAGCTGCGCGACTCTGTCGGCCTGCTGCTCGGTGGTGGGCGCGAGATGCCTCGGGTGGACTCCGTCCCGCGTTGAGGCTGTCGTCACTGAAAAAAATACCATAGATGCTTCCTGAAGGGTTTTGCCGTCCATCGGTCCCAGGGCGATTCTGTCGTCGTTTCCCCTTGGAACTGGATTGTTGTGTGGCTTGACCGAGGTGTCCCAGATGCTGGCAAGTCGATCGGTTCCCCCTTCCAGAATGCTGCTTGGGCGGCCTGACCATCGCCCCTTGACGAGGGTTGATGCTGGCTTCCAGGCTGCAAGGCCCCTCGTCCATCTGTGGGCCCAGCCGACTCCTCCCTGGTGGGAACGTTTGACCCGCGAGGCCCGGAGCGTTGCAGTTTCCGTTCGCTGTCTACGGCGCGGTCCAGGTCCTGGAGCATGGCGTTTATCGCATGGTCGGCTGCGCCCGCGGATAGCACCCCAGCGGCTGCGTCTGCAGGGGGGAATTCTCCGGGCTGCGACGCTGTCGCCTACGGCCGTTTCAAATATTCAACCGACGTAAACTCCTCTGGCGAGTCCTGCAGGCCCGCCGCCGAATACTCTAACTGGTTAGCGCCCGCCTTCGAAACGACGAAATTGACGTCGACGAGACGGTTTCGGAACCATCGAAGCGGGGCCCCCAGATACTCCCAGCCAGCGCGCACTTTAGTATCACGGCGCTTGACGCGCACCCATTTGATCACTGGGGGGATCGCCCGAGGGGCCGTTGACTGTCTAAGCGGGGTATCGGCGAGGCTGTTGAGGGTCTTCTCAAGGTCCTTAACCACCGCGAAGTAGCAGTAATCCAAGATGGCCTGGCGCTGTGGAATTCCGAGAGGCGCGGCCGCATCATGGAGCACAGCACTGGCATTGTTAATCACACTTCCACTGTGGGCCCAGCTGGTTGGCCTCTGGGACGGGCCAAACGGACTGTCTGAAGGAAGTCGCTGAGGCTTCTTCAGGGCCGGCACGGGGGAACTAGCATCACCTTGAATGTCTAGACAAACTGGCCCGCGAGGAGACAGCGGGCAGGGCACCTGGCCCGAGTCTGAACTTTCTCCGCCCACTCGCCCAGGGTTTCGCTGATCAGGAAGAAACCCAGAACGTTGCTCGACGCGGCTTTCCGACACGCCGGGCCCTCTGGGGCCGCGGCCTGCAAGGAGGCCCTGTTCCAAAAAAAAAAAAACCGTGGATTCGATCTTCGCGGGGGTCAGGTTGAAATCCCCCGCCGCTATGATGGGTGGACGGAGTCTGCCCCGTTGAACCGCAATGTCTGCTAGCAGGCCCCGGCCAGTCTCTACCCAAGCCCTCGGAGGCAAGGAAATGCGCGCTCACGAGGCCTACCTTCGGCAAGCCTGGGGCGCGCACGCAGACTCCTGCGAGGCGAACCCTGTCTACGTGGCACTTGACGTGCATCGGCTCGGCCCCCAGGTCCAGCCCGCCGCGGGCGAAGATGGCCACTCCGTTGACGCGCTCCTCGTTGTCGTGAAACTGGCTGGCGGGATGCGCGCCAGCCATCCCCGCTGCTGGCGCCACTGGGTCTCCTGAGCAATGATGCCCCCGTCGCATAGCCTGTGCTCCTGGACACAGATCAGCGTCACATCCATCACCCACTGCGACTCAACGAACTGTTCGAAGGTGGGCCAGCAGCTGCCGTTGAAGGTTGCTAGCTTGATGACGTCGCAAAGGCGACTGATCATCTCCTGGCTGGCCGGCGGTGGACGTGGCCTCGCGGAGGCGCTTGACTGCCTCCCTCGTCATCGTTCTGCTCCATGAGATCCGCGACCTCTTCTAGGGCGTGCTTGTCTCCGCTGCCCCAGCCCGCGAAGGCCGTGGCCTCGTCCTCCTCCTCTGAGTCTGGGCCCGCTGGTTTGGCCATGCCGCCGCGCAGACTCTCTGGCGTTGGCGCCGAGAAAAACGGCGGTGGCTGGGTGGGCGCTGGCAGCGGCGGGGCCGGCTTCGACGATGCGCTGTCCGCCGCGGCACTCTCGTGCTGTCGCTTGAGCTGGTCGAAGGTGTTGGCCAGGTCCTGCACCTTAGCCTGGAGCGCTGGCGGGACGACTCCTCCAGGCGGAATCTTCGCCTACAGCGCTGCGTAGACCATCTCGGAAATGCCAATGTTCTCGGAGGCCTGCTGCGCCGCCGCGTGGGCCGCCATGGCCCGCTGCGCCTCGAGCTGCTGCAGCTCGTCCTTCGTGCCCGCGAGCTCCTTAGATTGCGTTTTGTACTGGGCAGCCAGGGTCGAGATCTGCGTCGCGATGTCGACGAGCTCGTGCTGGAAGCCCTCCACTTTCTGCTTGGCGATCTGCACCTGGTCGTGCAGCGACTGGGTCTGCTGGCCCAGGCTCTTGCCGCGCAGCGCTTCCATCTTCGCGTGCTTGAATACCTCCAAATCGTCGGAGTACTCTTTGCCCTGCACTCCGACCTACTTCTTCCAGAAGGTGACTTCGGCCTGCGCCAGTGCGACTGGGTCTGGTTGGGCGGGGGCTCCTGGCTCTTTGTCTGTCGCTTGCTGCTGCGATGGCTGTTCCTCGCTGCCGCCGCCCACGAAGAGGACTCGAAGTTCCCAGGCGGCGCCGCGTCCTCCTCCTCGGCCACTGGGGCGGGGCGGGTGGGAGGGTTGCCTGATGCTCGCTTTGGTCCGCTGGCCGACGGCTTGGAGGTGCGCGCCGCACTGCGAGCAAACCTTGGCGGGCGCCCATCCCCACCCGCGGCACTTGGCGCGGGGGCACACCAGGTACTTGCCGCGGGGAGCCATGGCGCAGCGCTGACGAGGGCGAGGGTGCCGAGAAACAAACTGGCTGGAGAAACCGTGGTTGCGTGCGGAGCTCGGGCTCCGAACCTTGCGATGTCGAAAACCGAAGGTGGAGGGCCTGAGGCAGGGGCTGCCCTGCCACCCTCGGAGGGCCTGCTGCGGGGCAGCTCGCCTCGAGCCAGCCCCTCGGCTGCAGGCAAATACGAAGCCGCAGGGCCCCGGGTTCGTACTTGAACCAAAATGGCTACGGGGGAGGAGGAGGAGAAGGAGGATGGGGGGGCAGGAGGAGGAGGAGGAGGAGGAGGAGGAGGAGGAGGAGGAGGACGAATCATCTTTTGTTGTCAGGGGGAAGGAGAGGGAGGGGGGTGGGACAAGCTGGGCCCGCTCGCGCCAGATCTGACCGACCCTCCCACCCATCATTTCCCATTGTGCGGATGTCTTCTCGATCCGCCGACGCGTGCCGTAGCGGAACTGGAATTCCCCCCACAGGCCCCATCGTGTTATGCACAACCGGAAACAAACATACATCGGAGGAGGTGGCGGGTGAGCAGGAGGATGAACAGGAGGGTCAGGAGGATGAGGAAGGAGGGCGACGAGGAGGGACAATCGCAGCAAAAACTGGATTGTACGGGGCGGGAACAGCAAAATGAACAGGGGACAGCGGAGGATGGAAAAAAGAGGGCGATAACGATGAGGAAGGACCTGGATCCAAAACGGCGGCCCGCTCGAAAGCGATAGTGCCAGTCTATGACGGGAGCAACGCGAAGATCTAAAACTTAGGCCCGCGCTGCAACGGCAACGCTGGGGGAGACAGGAGGGGTGGGCGACGCAGGACGGGAGCGAGGAGGGAGGGACGGTTGCCTTCCTCCTTTGTTCCACTGCGTGCTCCCACGATTCCCTGATCACTGCAACTCGCCGGGGTGCCGTTGCTGGATGGGCGGATGGGGGTACTTTTGGTTGCGCGTGACGCGGAGCCAACCGCGCACCGTCGAGAAGGTCGACAACAAGACGCGAGCCGGCAGCCACAAGTGGGACGAGGAAATGGGCAACGAGAGGGCAACGACGCGGCGGGAAAGGAAAACGAACGACAGACACACGAAACAAGCGAGAAGAGCGGAAGAGCGAAGAGGAAGGAACGACAATACAGAAATACATAATGCAAGCCGCAGCTCAAACTCAGACCAAGTAGTAGACGACCGCCTCTTGTCGAACTGCCAGTATTTGTAATAGAACTCAACGTACCCAAACCAATGCACTCTGATGGAATGTTGCGAGAGGCGAAGGACCACAGAGTGACCACCGGCAGCGAAGCTGATGGGGATACGAGAAGCGTCAAAAGTCCCACCAGCCCTTTGGGCAAGGTGGTCTGACGAGTCCTTTCTCTCGTTTTCCAGAAACCCTCTTCCCTTCGGGGAAGGTCCTCCTCCCCTCCCCTCCCCGAAGTTATTTTTTGGCGAGCCGCAGGGTGTCAAGGCGCCCCGAGATGGCCCAATATGACTCCAAGGAAGCCCCCGATGCTCCAAGATGGCCTCCATGGCGGCTCAAGATAACCGAAGATGGTTCAATATAGCTTCCGAAATACCTCCACGAGGCCTGACGAGGGCGACAAGACGGTTCCAAGTGTTCACGGACCCCCCCAATGGGGCAACATCCTTCACATACCTAAAACAACGCAGATGTTTGACTTCTCGCCTTTTCGCTTCTGCTGCGCTCTTCGGCGCCTCAAGGTTGGCCAAGAGAGGCCCAAGAGGCCCGCCTGAAGGCCACTAGGAGCGCCCAAGAGCGGCCCAAGAGCACCCCAAGAGGCGATGTTGATGGTCCCACAGAGGGGGCTAACATAGGGACCCCCCATGTAATCGATGACCTCCGAGATGGCCCTAAGAGGCCGTCCGTGGCCTCCAACAGACCTCCAAGAGGGCCTCCAGACCCCCTCAGAAGCGCCCTCAGAGGGTCCCACGACCGACCGACGAGTCCCAAGATGGCTCCAAGAGGCGATGTTGAAGGCTCTGTCCTCGCCCTCGTTGTCCTCCTCTTCCTCCTCCTCCTCGTTCTCCTCGTCGTCGTCGCCCTCGTCGTCTTCCTTTTTCTTTTCCTCCTCTTCCTCGTCGTCGTCAACGTCGTCGTGGTCGTCGTCATCGTATTCCTCCTCCTCCCCCTTGCTCCCAGAGATCTGAAAATTCACCCCTTGTTGTCCGCTGTTTCACTAGATGTGCGTCTTTTCGTCCCTTTTCCCGTCAACTCTCATGGGCAAGATTTCTCAATGGGCTGGTGGAAATACTTTCTTTGGTACGCGGGCGCGCGAAGACGAGTCGAACGCCGTGCAAGCTAACGCGGGTCGCGCCGAAGCAAAGGGGAAAACAGCGAAGCGAGCGCTGGTGGATAAATATAAATATATATATATATATATATATATATATATATATATATATATGTGTTTACATCGCGGCCGCAGGCGAAGGCGCCAACAGCGTCAGCAGAGTTGGCTCGGGCTACGAGCAGCATAATTGCCGGAGCGCGCGCCGAGCAGGCAATACCTACCGCCGAAGGATGCAGCCGCGCCGGGGCTGAGCTGTTCCGGGGGAGATACTGCCACCTGCGGAGGCTGCCAGGGTGCTGCAACGTGCGAGTACCATGGGAGCAGAATCACCAGGCACGCGAATTAGGCCTCGTCGCCACCGGGCGCCAGGGGACAGGGTAGGAGACCGACAGGTGACACGCCAGGTCGCACAAGAAGGCTGAACCACTCCTGAAAGACACGGCGGGCCAGTACCCCATGTGGCCACCTGACAACCAGAGCCAGGGAAGTGCAAGAGCTCGTGCCAGAACGCCAGAACTGGTCAGAACGCGCGACACCTGAACGCCAGGGCTCACTCGGCACCACGGAACAGAGAGAGAGCCAGAGGCCAGGAGTCGGGCGCCTCCACCGAGGCTGAGGGGAACGGAATCCGGCGCCAGTGGCGGAGTGGGGGCCAGACGCGGCCAGGCCAGGCGGTGTCTGGGGACCAGGGCCAGGGAAGTGCAAACACTCACGCCGGTACTAGTCAAGACGCGTGAGTCGAGGACGTCACGAAAGGGTCAGAGCCAGGATAACCGCGCCAGGCCGTGGCGGGGTCCGAGCAAAGGCCAGGGTGAAAACAGCTCAGTAACGGCCAGGGCCGTAAAGTACGTCGCGCCCCGCCCCAGCGGGGACAGCGTGCCCAGTATTGACGGCGACAGAGGGCCAGCTCTCCAAGGGCGGGGAGGCCGAGCCAGGTGCCGAACTCGGGCCAACACAGAGCGACCATGGACCGGCAGCGGGAAACTGAACCGCGCTGCTGCCAGGTGGGGTAAGGGCTGGGGAGGGCCGATTCCAGGGAGACCGAGCCAGGCCGTGGCCAGGTCCAGGCAAAGGCCGGAGCGAAAACAACTACAGCATCGTCCATGGCCGATAGGCACGCCGTCCCCGCCCCAGCGGGTCCCGCGAGCCCGGTATTGACGGCGCCTGGGGGTCGGTTCCTCAAGTGCGAGGAGGCCCTGCCGGGTGCCGCGGAAGCCGTCGCCGAACGACGCTGGGCCAACAGTGGGGGAAGAAGGCCACTGCAGCTAGGTGCGGTGAAAGCCAGTGTGAGCATTGCACTCGCTCACGGGCATGCCGTGTATGGCACACTGCGCCTGCCCCAGCCAGGGCAACGTGCCGAGCGAGGCAGCGCCAGGGGCCTGACCCGCGCAGGCGGGGGGCTGGAAAAGCGCTGTTGGCGACAGCAGTCGAAGGCAGCACGTTCCAACCGAGTAACTTGACTTGCCAGGCATGTGAGGGAAGCCTCCAGGCCGCGGGCGAGACACTGCGTTGGGACCACTGCCAGGGACGACCAACGGTCGCGCAGTCGGTGAAGAGGGGGGAAGGAAGGCAGGGGAGGGGAACCCCAGCCAGGGGTGCCTGACGGATACGCAGTCCGAGGGAAGGAAAGGTGTTTCCCAGCTGCGGGCGCGCACACGCAGGGAAAACTGCTACTGCTAGGGGCGACTAACGGTCGCACTGCCGGCGAAGAGAGAAAGGGATAGAAACGCTGAAAGAGTAGCCAGGGCCAGGGGCAGAACTGCAGTAACTGAGACTCACCACTACTTGAGTGACGGCCTCGAGCGGGCGGTTCCCGATGGTGGGATATTACCGCCACCTGGACATCTTGTCGTCATGGTCGGCGTTGTCACGATTCTTCCTGCCACGCTTGCCTCCGTCGTGCCAGTCGTGGTATTGCCAAGATTGCCATCCACTCTGCCAGGACCACTCTCCCTGCTGATTCCATGGTTGCTGGTGGGAACTGGAGCTCCAGCCCTTGGACCGGAGGGAACCCTTGCCGGTGGTGTCCCTGGTGTGCATCTCGCGGATGGCGTCCCAGTCGACGTTGAGCTCCAGCTTCTGGTCCTTGGCGTAGCCCTACGCCACGCGTCCAGGAAGTCCTTACAGGTCTGCACATGGTTCAAGTGGGGGTCGCTATTGGGTTTCCCTCTGGCGCGCGGGAACTTCTGTGTGTGGCTTCTTTTTCACGCGCAGCGCTCAGAACCTCAAATGTGTCCTCAGCCCGCTCGTGCAAGGTGATGGGCCTGTGCCCACTTCCCTGCGCGGGGGTCCGTGCCACAGCACTGCTGAAAAACTCCAGCGGCACGCCTGTCGCATCAGCGCCTGCGGCACTCTCCGAACGCCAGCGGCGCGGACGCAGACGGCCGCCGCCGCCACAATACGCCGTGCCGTCACGGGGGCCTCTCCGACAGACGCTCAACGAACCAGAGGCCGACGCAACCACAGATGCGCTGTGAGGCCAGGATCGGCCAGCCACCGTGCTCGGGTGCGGGAGGAGCGGGAAGGAGGGAGGAGGAGGAGGGAAGGCGAGAGGTCGCCATCGCGAGGCGTCTGGCGGCGGGGCGGCACCCGCGGAGTCGCGGGGCCGCCTCCCCGCCTGGCCAGGACGCGAAACCACTCCCAAGCCAGGGGGGGAGGAGGGGGCGGCACCCGCGGAGTCGTGGGCTTTCCCCGCCCGGCCAGGACGCGAAACCACTCCCAAGCCAGGGGGGGAGGAGGAGGAGGAGGAGGAGGAGGAGGAGGAGGAGGAGGAGGAGGAGGAGGAAGAAGAGGAAGGAGGAGAGGGGAGGAAGAAGGCAAACAAGTCACCTGTTTCGGGGGTCTCTGGCTGGTTGCATCGCTCAGCTAGCCTGGACAACGTGGATCATTCTGAACAGGCGCCAGATTCAGGTAGAGTCGCCGGCACAAGAGGACCAGTGTGAGGAATGAGACGCCGTTCAAATGCAGCCGCGTGTTTCTCCTCTTGGCGCCAGGCTCGACGATGCGCCTTGCGCCAGGCTCTGGGATCGAGGCCCAACGCGCACGTGGCCTGTCTGGACACATTCGGACGACAACAGCCGGCCAGGCAGGGCACGAAAGAGCCAGGGAGCCGGGAGCGACAGCCGAGACCAGAGGGCGGAGGGAGGGGAGACGACCAGACACGGAGACGGGTGGAGCGACAGACGAGGGGAGGGGCAGCCGGGGGGAAGAGGAGGACACAAGACCACAAGGGCAAGGGCGAGGCACGGAGAGAGAGAGAGAGAGAGGCGAAGCGTGAAGAACTTGATGATGAGGAGGAGGAGGTGCAGGAGGAGTGAGAGGAAGAGCCACCCCTGGAATCCCCTTGTTAGGTGGGGGTCCATAGAAACCCCTGGACCATTGTGACAACTCGAGGCCCTCCTTCCTCTCCTCTTCCTCTACGTCTGCCTCTCCCTTCCCCTCATCCTTCCCCTCCACCATCGTTCGTGTCGTCACCGTGAGCGTGAGTCGTCGTCGTTGTGAGTCGTCGTCTTGACCGCTGGCGTTATCGCCGCCGTCACGTCTCGCGACGATCAATCATGCGTCGTCACCGCCGCTCCCCTCCTCCCCTCCCTCATCGCTGGCCGTTGCCGTCGAGGGTCGTCGTCGTCGTCGCCGTCGTCGTCGGACGCCGTCGTCGCCGGACGCCGTCGTCGTCGGACGCCGTCGTCGTCATCGTCGTCGTCGGTCGTCGTCGTCGTCGTCGTCGCCGTCGTCGTCGTCGGTCGTCGTCGTCGTCGGTCGCCGTCGTCGTCGTCGGTCGCCGTCGTCGCCGTCGGTCGTCGTCGTCGTCGGTCGCCGTCGTCGTCGTCGGTCGTTGTCGTCGCCGTCGGTCGTCGTCGTCGTGGGTCGCCGTACCGTGCCGTCACGGCCGTCGCGTCGTCTCCGCATCGCCAGCGAAGGCCGCCAGTGGCCCGAGAGGGCTCCCCCGGGGAGCATCAGATCGCGGAGCGCAGGCGCGCCGCCAGTGGCGCCGCGGCCGCGAGCGCGGTGAGCACCTGCGGCGCGCCGCAGCGCGCCGCAGCGAGCCGACCCTCGCGGGTCGCCAGCTGGCATAGAGGGGCCAGGGACACACAAATAATACGTAGACGCCCAAAGCCCAGGATTCCACATCATTTCCCGTATGTTCT